TGTCTCCAGCCCAGGTCTCCAGTCTGGGTTCCAGGGTCCACTCGCCCTCCTCTGAGACCAGACAAACCCCACTGACCTGCTGTGGCCTCTGAGACATGTTCTATTTTTATCCCCTTCTTGGAATTGGCTCTCTTCTTCGAAGGACCAGGTCCCTGTTCCTCTTTCTCCCCCTCACCACCCAGCTCCCTGCGAAGAGAGAGTTAATATATATTTTTTATTTATTTGCTTTTTGTGTTGGGATGGGTCCAGTCCCAGGGGGTCTGATGGGGCCATCAGTCAGGTCGGGTGTGTACCCAGCAGTCCTGGCGAGGGGGCCTCAGGCCCTTCCCCTTGCTCCAGGCTGTCATCGCCCCACCTCTCCCTCCCTCCTCAGTTTTGCCAACTGCTGTTCATGAGTCACCATTTATGCTGAGCATGTATTCCAGACTTGTCACCCATTTTACTCTGGAGCAGGTGGCTAGAAAAAGAGGCTATGAGTAGAAAAAGTGTTCCTATTTCTCATTTGTAAGGCTGGTCTCTGGCTTTTCTGCCATGGATTCTTTCCCTGGCCTCTCCCCTCAGCAATTCCTGCAAAGGGTTAAAAACTTAACTCGTTTTTACTACTGATGACTTGACTTAAAAAAATACAAAGATGCTGGATGCTAACTTGATACTAACCATCTGATTGTACAGTTTGATTGTAACTGTAAATACGGTAGCATTTTGTGCTTTGTTTTTTCAGTTCTCCATGCCACTGAATAAAACTAGTTCTGTGCGGGCTGAGCACTGTCATCCTTTCCTCCTGTGTGGGGCCCTCTCCTTGCGGCGCGGGGAGGCCTCGTCACTGGAAAACACGAGCAGGCAGGGCCCTGGAAGGGCCAGGTCAGGGGACTCAGATATCCTCTCGACACCCCCAGCAGTGTCCCCCAAATAGCCTCAGTACTGAGCCCACGTCCTGGAATTTCCAACGAAGATGTGGCTGTTAGCAGGAAAGTATGCTTCTCACCAGGACAGGAGGGACTTGTACGGCTGGAGAGGCTGCACAGAGCAGGCAGGATTCCAGCCCAGCCCCTTAGGGCTGAGTCCCGTCCTGGGAGCAGAATTCAGGAGGCAGGGAGGGCTGAGAGGCTGGTGGGAATTGAAAGGTGCTCAGTGACTAGGTACATCCTAACTTCATTCCTCTGGGCGGTCTCGTGTTTTTCCCCATCGGAAGTGAAGCAACTACTCATACTCTAGCCAGCTGTGTGCTCTGCCACATTACTTCCGTTCCCACGTTTTGTGTTTTTCGAAGGTCTGTTCAACAAACTAGATAGGGAGTTCACATGGGGGCCATAGAGGGGAGTTGTTAAGAACACAAACCCCGGAACCAGACTGAGTGACTGAGCCTTAGTTTCCCTGCCTGCAAAATGAGGATGATAATGGTTTGTGCCTAACTGAGCTTTTACGAGAATTAAATGAGTTGACACATGTTAGTGCTTAGAACAGTTCACAGTGCATAGTAAGAGACCAAGAAACCCTGGCTTCCTTCCCTGGTGCTACTGGGGAGGGGGGTGAAGGTAGAGTGCATAAAGAGAAAAGACAGAAAGCTCGACCCAAACGGAAGGAAGTAAGCAGGTAGTGAGCTAGAAGGGCAGCTGTGGCAGGCAGGCCTCCTCCCCCGCGGACGCTGCCTCCTGAACGTTGCTTAAACAGATCTGCAGTGGGATTGGAGGGGCAGTTAACGAAACCCTAGACTGACTTAGAGGGCGAAAGGAACATGCCTTGCCTTGTCCTCTTCGGCCACCAGGTGGCAACAGCACGCGGGTCTGCTGCTTGTTTTGCCTCTGAGGACCCACCGGGGCCTGGCTCACACGCAGGCCACACGAACATGCCATCTGCTGGCCACACCTAAGAGTGTGTCTGGGCTTGCTTCTGTCAGACACCAGTGCAGGACACGGTTGGGAGACGCACCTGAGGTCTTCCTGCCCCTGCCAAATGTTCTCCAGAGCCAGACACTCAGTGTCTGTCTCCACACACCCTCCCCCAGCTCAATGCTTGGAATCCCAGAGGCTCAGGGAAAGGTGAAAGTGTTGGCAGCTGTCACTGTGATATAGGTGAATGTGTTAAATGAACCTTAAGATCAGCTATAAAAAGAAGAAAGCCACGGGGGGGCCCCTGGCCCAGGAACAGGGGAAGGGCCTTTTAGTGCCTCAGAAGGGGGCCTATGGGCATGTAAACCTGGGGGGGCGGGGCACCAGCTGGAACTCACTCCCTTGGCCCAGTTGCCTGCTGACTTCCTTAAGTCAGGGCCTGGCCTCCAAGGAGGAAAAGTCCTCTCAAAACTCATAAGGAATTGGGCTGGTTCTGGCATTTCCAAGAATCGAAGGCTGTGAGAAAAGGGAGACCCTTAGTTAATCTGTTAAATGAATCTTTTGTCATTCATTTAACAAACACCACCCCCCCCATCTTGCACTCAAATATTTTTTCAATAAATGAATAGAACTCTCCACCACATACAAATCACAACACTAGGCACTGCAGAGGTTTATAAATCCTGGCGCCAGCCCTCAAGTCTAGTAGGGGTAAGAAGAGAACACCAACAATTCTAAAGACGTAAGGCAGAACATAACAAGGTGTTCAGGCATCTTCTGCCTGAGGCAATCAGCAAACCTGAACACCAGGGTACCCACCCGAGGGCCCCCTCATCCCATAAGTACAGCAGACAAGATGCTGAATTCCTAGGAGTACCCATTCTCTTGCCAGGAAAGGACACCCACGTTTAGAATATAAATAATAATTTATCAAGACGCTGGTCTGATAGCTCCTCCCCCGCGGACGCTGCCTCCTGAACGTTGCTTAAACAGATCTGCAGTGGGATTGGAGGGGCAGTTAACGAAACCCTAGACTGACTTAGAGGGCGAAAGGAACATGCCTTGCCTTGTCCTCTTCGGCCACCAGGTGGCAACAGCACGCGGGTCTGCTGCTTGTTTTGCCTCTGAGGACCCACCGGGGCCTGGCTCACACGCAGGCCACACGAACATGCCATCTGCTGGCCACACCTAAGAGTGTGTCTGGGCTTGCTTCTGTCAGACACCAGTGCAGGACACGGTTGGGAGACGCACCTGAGGTCTTCCTGCCCCTGCCAAATGTTCTCCAGAGCCAGACACTCAGTGTCTGTCTCCACACACCCTCCCCCAGCTCAATGCTTGGAATCCCAGAGGCTCAGGGAAAGGTGAAAGTGTTGGCAGCTGTCACTGTGATATAGGTGAATGTGTTAAATGAACCTTAAGATCAGCTATAAAAAGAAGAAAGCCACGGGGGGGCCCCTGGCCCAGGAACAGGGGAAGGGCCTTTTAGTGCCTCAGAAGGGGGCCTATGGGCATGTAAACCTGGGGGGGCGGGGCACCAGCTGGAACTCACTCCCTTGGCCCAGTTGCCTGCTGACTTCCTTAAGTCAGGGCCTGGCCTCCAAGGAGGAAAAGTCCTCTCAAAACTCATAAGGAATTGGGCTGGTTCTGGCATTTCCAAGAATCGAAGGCTGTGAGAAAAGGGAGACCCTTAGTTAATCTGTTAAATGAATCTTTTGTCATTCATTTAACAAACACCACCCCCCCCATCTTGCACTCAAATATTTTTTCAATAAATGAATAGAACTCTCCACCACATACAAATCACAACACTAGGCACTGCAGAGGTTTATAAATCCTGGCGCCAGCCCTCAAGTCTAGTAGGGGTAAGAAGAGAACACCAACAATTCTAAAGACGTAAGGCAGAACATAACAAGGTGTTCAGGCATCTTCTGCCTGAGGCAATCAGCAAACCTGAACACCAGGGTACCCACCCGAGGGCCCCCTCATCCCATAAGTACAGCAGACAAGATGCTGAATTCCTAGGAGTACCCATTCTCTTGCCAGGAAAGGACACCCACGTTTAGAATATAAATAATAATTTATCAAGACGCTGGTCTGATAGCCTCACATACTGTGAATTAAACTCTACTTAGGGCTTCCCTGATGGCGCAGTGGTTGAGAGTCCACCTGCCGATGCAGGGGACACAGGTTCGTGCCCCGGTCCGGGAAGATCCCACATGCCGTGCAGCGGCTGGGCCCGTGAGCCATGGCCGCTGAGCCTGCACGTCTGGAGCCTGTGCTCCGCCACGGGAGAGGCCACAAGCAGTGAGAGGCCCGCATACCGCAAAAATAAATAAATAAATAAACTCTACTTAAGTTGATCTGGACCTTCTAATAACATATGAAGCCTGGAAATGCCTAGAAAAAGGCAGCCTGTTCCCATCGAATGCCAACAAGGGGGCTAGTCATAGCCTGATTAGCTGGAATCTCAAGAGCCCAGGGCCTATTCAGACCCCTGCCTGGGAAGCCCATCCTGGCTCCCTCACTGGAATTACACAGGAGTTTACTCCAAATTTGTTAGAAACTGGAGCAGGATTTACTTCCACATGTATTCAGAATATAAAAATATACTCATTTTATTTTAGAAAAATGCAGACCAATGGAGCAAGCTTATCATAAACTGGCCTGTTAGGAGTCACAGAATCCACAGGAAACAAGTTCTGGAGACCAGATGCCTGCCTCTGCCTCTCCAAACAGGCCTGAGTCCAGCAGAGGATGTTATTCAGGAGGACTGCTCCTTGGAGAGCAGGGAGGTTAGCTACAGAGGCCATTCACATGTAAATGTCCAGCAAACCAAAGCCTGGGATGAAAATCAAACTCTGTGGAGCTGGACACAAGAATGGGGGTGGATGAGGACAAACCACTCTCGAGCATTTCTTATTTTCTGTTTAACTTCACCACTGGGAGGCAACCTCTTTTTCCTATCTTGTTTCAACTGAGAGTTTGATTCCCCTCCAGCTCAACCCGAATCCACCCTACCTCCCATGGTCTCTACTCCTGGAGCACCAGCCATGGTGGCAGCTCTTCCTTCTATCCCTGGGCCAGAATCTGCTGGAGTCAGGCCTGCCTCCAAGGAGAGAGCTTGGGAAGCTGAATATAGAGGTGAGTCCAGGCAGTGACTATAGTAGTTTGCTACTGAATTCTTGCTTGCTGTCCTGATCTCTTTACCTAAAGAGAGAGAAGAAGGAACTGCTTTAAATTGCCCTTCTTTCACAAGCCCATTTGTCACCAGCTGAGTTCAACTTCAGGAAGAAATGGGACTCCCTGCCCCTCCAGGCTCCCCTCGTCATCCCCATCAAGGGAAAAAGAGACAGCATCTCAACCTGTCTTACCTGGTAGGTCCTGGGACTGCAACTTTCCTGGGGGGCTGCAGATTGCTGCGACCGGCACCAGGGATGGGAAGATTTGGTCGCTGAGAAACAGGAACTTGATGGGTGTTAACAAAAGACATGAGTTAGCAGAAGGTTCAAGTGACCTTCTCAAAAAGAAATACTGGATGAAGGCAGAGTGAGTTTGGGATTAGTGCCTTTCTTCCCACCCAAGATAAAAAACATACGGTATTTGAAAACTGAGGCTCAAACTCTGCCCAGGCCCATGTTCTCTCCTTAACTCAGCCTTCCCATCTTCAAACAGAGCTGTAATGAGGGTGGAGAAAGTCACTGCTACCAACTCTGGGAGGGTGCGTTCATGCTGGGCAGGGGTAGGTATTCTTCCTCCTGATTTCTTATCCTTATGGCCATTCTTCTCACCTCTGTGCCCTGCGGCACTTGGTCTTGGAAGTCCTTTCCGAGCTGGCAGGGAATCTGAAGGAAGGGCACCTTTGCTGGATGGTACACTCCGGCTGGTGAGTGGCATCCTGCTGGCAGGCCTGGGAATGGCCGACGGAACAGGCAGTCGACTGGAAGGCTTAGCAGCTGCTCCCTGTGGCCGAGACAGGCGCTGAGAGTTGCTGGTAGAAGGCTGTGGAGCCAAGACTGGTCTGACAGAGGTAGGTGGGCCTGGCGGAGAGGAGCAGAGGAATTTTAGGGTCAGCTCCGCATCCTCCCTCCTCCCACTCACCCACAGCTTTGCTGCCCAGGTCTTCTCACTTGCTGTTGCTCTCCCACTGGGCCCGGCTTTCCCCCGGACTGGAGGAGTTGATCGGGCAAGAGGAGAAGATGCTGGGCCTTTGGATGCAGGGAACAGATTGCAAGTGGGCGACTCCTGAAGCACAAAGAGAGGGGAAATAAAGGACTAGAATGGAAAAATAATCTGTTTTGCTGGCTGATTAAGGGACAGAGGTGGAGAGCTGCCTAGATCCCAGTAAGGAAAAGAAGTTAGCTGCCAACATCGTCATCATCATCACCAATGTCATTTATTGAGAGCTGACTATAAGCATTATAGAGCTCACACACAGACGCGGTGGTAAGTGCTTTGCTTATGGTACCTCGTTTAATTCCAACAATCCTATGAGATAGAATTTGACTATTTCTATTTTACCAACAAGGCAACTGCTCTATGCCTATACTGAGTCAGGCACAGTGTTGGGGGCACACATCTAACCCAAACCCTCTACACTCACCCTCTTCATGCTGGAGGGCCTCTTTCCAGATGTTGCTCGAAGAGCCCTGACTGACACCTTCCTATCGCTGCTCCGGAGTCGGGGTGTCAGGCTGCTTGGGGAGGGGGTGCTCCGAGCCAAAGAGCTCACGGTGGGCAGCAGGTCTCGGACAGGACTGTCCTTGAGCACAAAGGTCTCCCGCCGAGGGCTGGGCTTCACCCTTCGAGGCCCTGGGCCCTCACCGGTGTTCTCCCACTCCTGCAGGGCACACTGTTCCAGATGAGCTGCCAGCCGGTTGGCTTCACTGAGGATTTCTTCCAGCTTCTCTGGGCTGAGGGGGCCTAAACTGAGCCTCAGACTCTGTGGGGCGGGGGCCACTGCATTTGGGTCACTTCGATGGGAGAGACCTCGTCGGAGGGGTTTCTCCGGAGTCACCGACACTGCTGTATCTTCTTCCTCTCGACTGCGAAAGAAAACAAATCAGGCACCTTGCCCACATGGAGAAGAGCAGGAGACTACAAGGGAGACTGGGCAAAACCCCCACTACAGAGCTAGGAACACGCCCCCAAACCCCGATACCCGTGCTGGCTGTGAGATCTAAGTAACGAGACAGCCAGTTCTAGGAGGCCTTCAGCACTTACTGACATTGGGAATTATGCCAGGATGAACATGAAGCAAATCCACTTACCCTTCTTCTTAACACCCTGAAATCTCCTTCCAGCTTATCCCTTCTCCCCTTCCCCAGTAGTGTCATAGGGGGCGAAGTCAACCAGCCACCCAGAGCCCCAGTGCACCCAACCTTGCTAAATTACCAATCCAGACCTAAGGCCAATAATTCAGCAGTAAGGTGTTAGAGACAACCATTGTTGGAAGAAGGTAAGTAGGATAAAGAGTCTACTACCTGTCAGATGGTGACAGCCCCCCAAAGTCCAAGGTCTCATCTGCTATAAACTTTACATCTGTAGGGGAGGAAAGAAGGAATGCCAGCCTTTGGTCCCTAACACGGCTCTCAATCACAGGGCCTCATTCTTCCCTCCAGCGTTTCCTTACCTTCTTCTAAATCTTCCATGTTCCAGCCAGCAGGAGCAAAAGTCAGCTTAGACCCCGGAGCTGGAGAGAAAATACACCTTTCCTCAGGTCTCCATCCTGCCCAAGGCCTCCCAGCTAGACTCGGTGCAAGCCAGGGGCTGGGAGTCACGCTGAAGGTAAAGAAGGCGTTCCAGCAGCAGCACCTGCCCCTGTAACTGAGGTACTCTTACCTCCGGAGCAAGTTCCGACAGATGCCCCCATCCTCCCATCTCCTTCCGCACATTGGCCCCCGCCCCACTGCGACCCGACCTCTTCTCGCTGGGGCGGTCTACGCGCCCCATCCTCCTCCCCAACATCACCCTCCGGGTTCTTCCTCTCCCCAAGCCATCTTTCTACTCCCCGCGGCACCACGCCCACACCACACCTTCACGCCACCCTCACTTTTCACTTTCCGACTCGCCTCACCTCCCGCGGAAGGTGCTTTCCTCCCACAACCTAGCCCCGGGAACCCGCTCCGAGGGGGCGGGGCGCCTTTCGAATCTCTCAGGCCCCACCCACTCCTACCACACGCGCTCAATGATTGGTGAAGGCCAGCATCCTCCGCCCTTGTGGGGCGGGGCGGTGGAGGGGTAGCCGGCCGGAAGTCCGCAGGTGGGGGCCGAGTGGGAAGCCGTTCCAAGAAAGGCTTCATTTGGAGGGCTGAGGCGAGGAGGCCGCGAGCGCGCTTGCTTGCCCGGGAGACCTTGTTCGGCTTCCCTCCCGGAGCCAGGCCTGCGAGGGGCGGGACCTCGCGGCGGCGCGCGAGGGAACGGGCCAATGAGTGAGAGTTTCGCGACCTGCCGTCCCCCTCTTCTCCGCCCCCTCCTTCTCGTGCTGGGCAGAGCTGAGCTTTGACGCCCCTTGCGGCCGTCGGCCGTAAAACTAACGATCTGCCTGAGGAAACTCGTTGTATTGGGCTCACTAGGCTCACTTCATTCGGAAGCGCAGTGTTAGCCTGATCCCTCAGGTGTATTCACGGAAGCAACTAAACATTTATATTTTAGGTATATTGAGGTTCTCTAAGACGTACATCTTCCATCGGCTTTTTAGGCGAGAACATTCGGAACCTGAGGCATCCAAGGTGTGAAGAAAACTATGGGCTTTTCAGACAAGGAGATTTGGGTTCAGATTCAACCGTGGCTCCACTGTTGACCAGTATATTGAGTATCTTTGACCTCTCTGAGCTTATGTTTGACCCCTCGCTTATCTAAGAGGATCGTGACCGTCGCAGTACATTAGGAGGATAGTTATGAACATCAAGTTTTATACCGTGTGCCTTCCTCTAAATTAAAAGCTGTGGTGTTAAAAGCTTAAGCCTACTTATTAGGGATTTTCTTTGTTGTTTCCAAGGGTTGCCTGTGAATAGACTGGGCCACCAGTCTTCTCAGAAATATTCTAAAAATTTTAAGTTAAAAGTCCCGAAAAGAATGGTTGAAGAGCTTTCCCGTAAACAAAGAGCCTAAGCTTTTAGTCTCCAGAGTTTATGAGCATTATTTTGGCGGTTTATAGGCTTTTTGTTTACTTCCTAGTTTTTAGTTGTGAAGTTGAGGTGGTGAGGTTGGCAGGAGTGAGATGTTACAGTAATAAATGCCGCAGGGAGCGAAGGAGCCTTGGAATTTAGTAGTGTGATAAGGAAGAGGGTGGGGAGACCCAGAACTTGCAAAAGCTTATGTGAGGAAGAGCCCAGAGAAGAGGATTGCCTCTTTTTCCGTAGGTTTCCTGGTGACAGTGGAATTTCAGTTGCTTGTAGGTTTCAGATTCTTTAGAGGTAAGAAAACCAGAGCCAGTAGCTTCTCTCTCTTCAGGCAGGTAGTGGAGATCAGAGGGAAAGAAGCTGTTAATTAACTGCATTCCGTCTTCCCCTAGGAGCAGCCTGAGTAGGGAAATTCTTCACGCACCTTCAGGTGAGTGGAAGAGGCAGTTTTAGCAAGTTGGAAGTTAATTTCTTCTAAGGAAACTCATCTCCAATTTTCTGTCACCAAATTATGATTTTGAAAGCTGTTGAAGAAAAAAAGCAATGGATCTGCTTTCTCTTCCATCAGAATGACAACAAAGCCAGAAAATATAGATTTCAGGCACAAGAATTCTTCCCTCAGCGTAAGGCCACTAATCTGGGAAATAACGTGTGCCCTTCAGCTCAACTCCAAAATGGTATGTATGAATAAGAGTTAAAGATTTTGGGTAAATTATGAAGAAATGAATTAATGAAGAAAGTATACCCCCTCCCAGGCACATGGTAAGCCTTAGTTGAGAAGTACTTTGAGCATAGTGTTGAGTGCATAAATGATAAACTTAAGGATTGCAGTGCAGTTCTCCTTGAATGCTGGGAAGCCTCTTGGTCACTGTGTACGTGACTGGCTGGCTCGGGGACTCTGGCCCCTGCTCCCTAATGGCCCTCTCAACATTCTCAGCCGGGGTTCCGCAAGTGCCTTAGACCCTACAAATGATTTGTTTGACTATTTTCTCAGTTTTCCCAAGGATGCTACATAACTAGTAACATTCTTTATGCATAGGAAGAAGTTAATTTATGACATACAATGAATGCCTTGGGGCACTGGGACTTTCTTATAGCACTCCAGTTGAGAAAGGCTGGAATAGGTACTTGGCCTCAGCTGAAAAGAGGCCTTTGGTCTGAACAGAAAAGCTCTTCTTCACACTCAGCCAAAACATATCCACTTCCTCCTCAAAACCTTGCCTTATATTTACTGCCTCCTAGAAATTTTTTCTTTCTTAAACCCATGATTCCAACCCACACCAAAACAGTGGGGGTCCCTGGGTGAGAGATAAGAGGAAATAGGGAAGACTTGAATTCAAACAGACGTGATTCAAATCTTAGAACTTCTCCTTTCCAGCTACATAACTTGGAGCAATTTATAAGCTTCAACTCACTCATTTGTAAAATGAAGATTAAAAGAGATAACGCCTGATACGTAGAAGGCTGTTTCAGTTATGTATTATTGTGCAACAAACCACCCAATATTTAGTGGTCTGAAACAACGGCAACTATTCATCTGCTCATGATTTTACAGTTTGGGCAGGGCTGTGCAAGGACAGCCTGTCTCTACATGAGGAGTAGATTAGGTTTGACTAGGGTTGAGGGGTCCAAGGTAGCCACACATGTCTAGGGCTGTGGTGCTGGCTGTCAGCTGGGATGCTTTGTTGTCCTCCACGTGGCCTCCCATAATTCAGTAATCTATCCTGAGATGCTTTACATGGGAGCTGACTTCCAAAAGCAAAAGCAGAGACTAGTAGACCTCTCAACTGGCATAGCATCACCTCCACTACATTCTTTTGGTCAAAGCAGGGCACATGGTCAGCCAGATTCAAGGGGGGAGAAAAAGACTCCAACTCTTGGTGGAAAGAGCACCATGACCATTCCAGGATGGGAGGAATTGTTGCTATCTTTTGCAGATTCCATCACAGAATGCCTTCAGTATCTTATTTGTTATAGAAATGAAAACGTGTAAGCAAGAGCACATCACTTTTATTCTTTCCCCAGGGCTTAATGAGACTCTGCACTGGTTTCTTCACTGTCTCCCAGCCCTCAGATCTTAGTGCTCTGTCTTTAATTAGCTATGTGTGTATTTATGTGTCCTGCTGTCTGTGTCTCTGTGATAGATGTGCATCCTGTTTTCCAACTTATACTGGAAAGCATAGAGAGGAAGAGAGCAGGTCATCTTGAGCATCCCCCCTTGAGCACCTCATACTGTATAGAGTTGTCATAGACTGTCTAGAGAAAAGGACAGTGTTAGGAACCTCTGTGGAAGAGAATGTAGTTATGGGAAGAGAAAGAGGAGTCTGGGGGCCCGCAGATTCCATACAGTCTGGCTAAAGGATTCCAACTTTCTCAATGGTTTTCTATATAGAAAGGCTCAAACAGATGGACACTTATGCAGCGAGGATCCACACCTTTATTTAGATTAGTCCAAACAGACACTATGCTGGAGCTCCTTAAGAACACAGTCTCTCCACAGGCTTCCTGGAGGCACAGAAAAGAGAGGGTATGTTGTGGCCATAACGGCAAACAGTGAGAGCTCATCCAGGCTGCTGAGGTGACCTCCTTTCATGGTCCCTGGGTCCTGTGCTCTGAACTCTGTATTTACCCTGCTTCGTTGCTGGCACTGACCAGGAGAAATGGAAAAGGGCACTAAGAGTAACAAGGATAACACCAACACAACATGACATTAACCTTAACCTTAACCTTAATGCAGAGAAGGAATTGAGGGATGGTGAGAGAACTGGCTGTGCAAGCCAGCTGGCAGAGAGAGATCTCCTGAGAAGCTTGTACTTTTTTTTTTTTTTTTTTTTTTTTTTTGCGGTACGCGGGCCTCTCACTGTTGTGGCCTCTCCCGCTGCGGAGCACAGGCTCCGGACGC